CTTGATTATAAGTTTGCTAAAATAAGAATTCGAACAATTTCCAATTTAGATTTCGTTTGAGACTACTATTTTTTAAAACAATTTTTTTAGTACAATTTTTTTAAAAAACAGCAAAAAATAATGGCAAAAAAACTATTCCAAAGAAAGCATTAATTTTGAAAACTTTTATTAGAAATAATGCATCAATATTCATGCCCATCGAATGAAATTTTATGAGATGTTATCAATTTCTAATATTTGAGGCTTTCTAATTGATTTGAACACTCTGCATTTGTACCCTGTAATAAAAAATGAAAAAGGATAATGGTTTCGAACAATTTTCTCTTAGATTATTAATCAATAATCAAATTTCAATGCATGCAGAATTAGATATCAATCTCAATTAAGACTTTCATTATTTATTTATTATTTTTTTTTATAAACTGATTGGCACAGACTAATTCTCTATTAAGGACACTAATAATGATGAAATTATTTTGTGCGGTCATCGGATACCGTCCGGAGGCGAATTATGACGTGCCAGATCACTTTTTAGTTGTACCGATGTTGTGTATCAGAAGACGTGGTGCATCCTGATTAACCGTGATGACAACACAGAATAATCTCTCCTAATCACGATGGGAACACGTGGCCTATCATTATCAGCTATTGTTCGTTCGGCAAACGTAACCACAGAAAGCGGAGGATTCTGATTTCATCAGAAAGCTTACCATTTTGAAAAAAAAAATAAAAATATTAATCAATAATTAATAATCGGCTTATGCAATAATATTTAAGGGCACGAGAAAAACAGCACAGATTATCGGGACTAAGCCTCGTGATTGGGTAGACATTCCGTGGGGCCCGCGAGAAGGCGAATAAGATTAGTTTGATTGGTTTTTGGTCCGGTGACCGGCAACTATTCTGGTTGGCGGATAAAGCAGCACGTGGGGACCATTCATGGGGCAACACGTGGATGGCGACCGCATAAAATGACAGTGGGCCGGACGGTAGGTGGAGCCCATGACCCATCAGCTCTTGTATATGGCCATCGGGTCTTAATCCATCTGTAATTAGTTAGCTTGCCCGCACTAATTAATACTTAATCATGATTAATTAAAGCATAGGGATTCAGTGAGATATTTCAATTAATCTTAATTAGTTCCAAATGACAACAATAATTGTTTCGCTGGTCAAAGATTTTATTGGTAACAATGATCTTCCCTTTAGTTGTCGTTTTAATCACGCACATGCTTAAGATTAAATTCCCTTTAAATTAACCATGCAAAGTTAATGATAAAGATGTAGCATGCGACGTTTTAAAGACAGTTAATTAGAAGTCCTGAGGCTGTTATAAATATAGAGGAAAATATAACAAATTATATATAAAAAAATCAAGCAACAAAAAAAAAAGAATAATAAAATTTATGTGATTTTATTTAAATTTATTTATGTCCACAATTATACAGATGTTAGATTATCTACTAAATTATAGAATGGTGCAATAAAGTTATTCCTTCTCTTTCTTTTGGAAGAACTTAAAAGAACTTCCATTGCTTTCTCGAATGGCAACCCTCTTTTGTCTCTCCTCTTCCTCTCCTCTTGTTGTTGCTTCTTGATCACCGATGCCTAGCTATGATCTTTCGACCATTATTTCCTAACCAAGTCTTCCGATCATTATCATCCAACTATAATTTTTTGATCTCCATCTCTCGACTACAATATTCCTCTAATCATCGTCACTCAGCTGCTATCCTCTGACCAACTTCATCTGATTATAGTCCTTGAATCACTATCACTTAACTACATTCCACCTACTCTTATTGCCCGATAATAATCCTTTAGCTAACATCTCTTGATTAAATCCACGACCCATTCACCTGATCATAGTCCTACGACCATTATCATCTGATCACGATCCCCTAATCATCATCATATAATTATGATTTTATAACCATTGTCGCTTGCCTATAATCCTCCAACTACAGACACAAGACTACAATCACTGCATGACCATCACTTTTCTATAGTTATTTGATCACCATTATCTAACAATGATCATCTGACTATCATCACCCACCTAGGGGTGTCAATTTCAGGTCATGGGTCGGGTTCGTGTCGAACCCGGAACTGACCCGGGTTCAAACGGGTCGACCATAACCAAACCCGGGTAGACAAACGGGTCGGAAATCCGAACCCGGACCCAACCCGACGGGTTTCCGGGTTGACCCGACCCGACCGGTTTTGGGTTCTGCCGGCGCCGGAACCGCGGCGGGCAGACGGCGGGGGAGGACGCGAGAGGGGAAGTAGTGCGGGCGGGTGCGGGACGCGCGCTGGGCAGCGCAGCAGCGGGCGCGGGTGCGCTGGTGCTTGGGTAGCGGGCAACAGGCGCGCAGCAGGGGGCGCTAGCGCGGGCAGCATGGGCAGGCAGCGGGCAGCGGCGGGATTCAAAATTTTTTGAATTAAACTGGTTCGCGGGTTGACCCGGCAACCCGTCGGGTCAACCCGAACCCGACCCGTTTTTCAAATGGGTCAATTTCTGGAACCCGAACCTGACCCATTTTGAAATCGGGTCGGGTCCAACCCGGGTTTTTCGGGTCGGATCCGGATCGGGTTTTCGTGTCGTATCAAATATTGACACCCCTACATGACCCACCTATAACTCACTAACCACCATGATCCCTCAAACATCACGTAAGTACTATCATTTGACCCCAATTGCTAGACTATCATCCTCCAATTATTATCTCCCGACTTAGGTCATCTAACCTTCATCCTTCTACTTAGGTCCTCTGATCACCATTACATACAATCCTTTGGCCACTATTTCTCAATTGAGGTTCTATAACAAACATCGCCTAACTAAGGTCATTTGACCACCATTATCAAACTATAGTACTTTGAGCACCATAATTGGCTATGTTCTTTGACCATTATAACCTAATTACAGCCCTCCCACCACTATTGTTGGACTATAGCCCTTTGTCGACCATCGCTCAGTTAAATTAATCCGATTGTTATCACATGATGCTTACTCTCAAGCGAGGAATAGCTCAAAATTAACTCAACCCATTTATTTGGTGATCCAATCATAAAATCAAACTTCATATGGGGAATCTATTTGTGATCAGTACCTCTAATATGAAGTCCCAACATAAACATGCATATTTGCTCAATAGATATTACATAATACAAATATTTTAATTTTTTAAAAAAAACTTCACTATGATAATGGCCACAAAATTAGGTAGAAAATTGCAGGTTAACTTGAAATCCCTTTCCATCCTCTGCTTTCGGAATGCTTCTCTGTTGGCATCTATTGAGCTCAATATCGTAATTAACCAAATGCAGCCACTGTTATAGTTAGCAACAATCTACAGACAAAAATTATTAATTAGATAGTATCGACTGCTATCAATTATAGAATAGGTAGTTGTCAGCTGTCACATATTTAATATTTCCTACTTTGAGTGGAGTTGCATTTGCTTACAAATTGGATTGGAATAATGATAATTAGCAGCTAACATTCCTCCCATTTAAGAAACTAAAACCAATTCAAAATTTAAAAAACAAAAAAAGTAAAGAAGGATGGGAAAGATTTAGATGGATTTGATTCTCTCAGGATTCCTCCAATTGAGTTCATTAATGCTTCTTTTTCTTTCTCTAATTTAATCAATTTGCAGCCTTTTGATGATTGTCTACTTTTATTATTATTATTTTTTGGGAATGGGTATCCACATACTGCTACTTTCTTAGGAGGTGCTTGACGGCTTAACTAATCTTCGGCAAGCCTAGCAGCAATCAACCTCACATGTGCAGGACCCCCAGTTATTTTCTCCTACTAAACGGGTCAGGTCACATGAGAGTGGATTCGAACATTGGTTAGGGGTTCTCAATCATGCTCGCCCACCAACTCAGCTAAGCCCGGGATTTTGAATTCTATTACCGCTACATGTACTATCTGATACAGTTGATTTTACGTTGTTACTAAACCCTAATAAATACAATCTGTGGACTGATTTGCTTTGCCGTCAAGCCCAGCTTGGTTTCCATTTCATCTGTTTATTTCATTTTAAGAGGAAAAAAAAATCATATTTTGTACTGTAAATTAAACTTGACTTAGAATAACTGTAACAAGCAGAAATTAAGAAGGAATTCCGTGGGCTGCATGTCCAAATTATTAAAGTTTATGACTAAAATATGTTAGTGGTGACATGCATGAATAATCATAAGTTTGAAATTTGATAATTAATATTTAAGCAATCATTGCATTGCATCATTAAGATATCTTAAGATATCATTGTATCAGGAAAAAAAAAAGATATAAGAAAGGATCAGTATATGATTAATGATTGTTCATCCTTAATTAATTAATATTTTGGTGCAATTTCATATTTCTTTTGCTTCACTTATGTGATTATGTTGAGTCTACTCAGTCGAGTTAGTCCGGCCTAATTAGCCTCATTGCATTAATTAGTTTAACTTTCATTTTTCTGGTCAAATGATTTTCATAATTATTAGACAATATATATATATATATATATATATTGGTAGGAGCTGTCATATTATTAAAAAATGAATAATTTATTGATAATTAAAGCTGATTAGTATATTTTGCTCTTCCAAATTTACATAATATTATCATAAATAGATATGTTTAAATGATAGCTTTTCAAATAATTATAAAAAAAGATTTTCATAATATACAGTTAATTGCTCCTAAACCTTTTTTTGATGAGCTAATAAGACTAATACTTATCATTTAATAAGAAAAAAAAAATACTTATCATTTAAATATATTAACCTTAATGTTGACCTGTAGGTAATCCAAGTATTTTAATTTTTTGTTCATTATGTGAAACGGTCCCCAGCCTATCAATAATCCCAAAGGTCATTAATGCAACAAAAAAACACCAAAATGCCCCCACAAAATTTCAATAATAAGAAAACTGGCCCTTCCCTAAAACATTATAAAAACACGAACAAATTTGTCTCAGCTCTCAAGATCAAAGAAAGAAGCATCTCTCCTTTCCAATACCCTCCTCCACCAGAGAACCTTTTAAAGCCTAACTCCAACACTTCTCTCCATGGTTTCACTTCATTGACAAAGAAAGTTTCAACTCTCTGCTCTGCTTCCATGTCCATACTAAAAGAGCTTCTCCTCCTCTCTCCTTCAGCTCTTCTTGCCCTCTTCATCTTCTTCTATCTAGCCAGATGCAAGAGAAAGCATCCCAACCTCCCGCCGGGCAGTCGAGGCTTTCCGCTTCTCGGCGAAACCTTTGGCTATCTCAAGCCTCACTCCGCCACCACCATAGGAAAATTCATGGAGCTTCACATAAACAGGTGAAAGTCTACAATTGTTAGTTCAGTAATCCCAACCTACTTCGAAAATATTTTATAGAATTCAATCTCAGCAGTCCAAAGTGAGCTGAATGGTTCAGATTGGAGAACTACACAGGTGCAATTCCCATCGTAATTGTAGATGACTTATTTAAACTCTTGCCTTTGCTTATTTGCTATAGAGTCAGTGTGGGGTGGTTGTAGCAGTTTGTAAAAGTAGTTGTAGAATATAAGCTTTTTTACAACTGTTGTTAAAAAGGATTTTTTTTTCCATAAAAATTTTAGAAAACAATAAGAAAATTATAACCAAATAGATTTGAGATATTTTTGTTTAAAGTAAAGTTGTGTAAAAAACTTCACCAAATTATATAGTACTTAAGCTTTCAAATTAATAGTTATTCATCAATGGTTATATTCAAATATATTTAAGCTTCTGAGAGTTCCACATTCTATAATCTCTCAGGTATGGAAAGATCTATCGTTCAAACCTGTTCGGGGAGCCGACGATCGTATCAGCAGATGCCGGTCTGAACCGATTCATCCTACTAAACGAGGGCCGATTGTTCGAGTGTAGCTATCCGAAGAGCATTGGTGGAATACTCGGAAAATGGTCAATGTTGGTGTTGGTTGGAGAGATGCATCAAAGCATGAGAATGATCTCTCTTAATTTTCTCAGCAGCGCCCGTCTTCGAACCGTCCTCCTGCCGGAGGTCGAGCGGCAAACCCTCATGGTGATGGCCTCCTGGAAGGAGGGAGTCGCCTTCTCTGCCCAAGAAGAAGTTAAAAAGGTTATATATATTTCAGGGTTTCTTAATATTTGATTAGAGTTTAATTATGTTGAATATTTGTGAAGCAATTTGGTGATAATTGCAGTTTACTTTCAACTTAATGGCAAAGAATATTATGAGCCTGGAGCCAGGGGAGCCTGAAACTGAGAAGCTGAGAAGAGAGTACATAACATTCATGAAGGGGGTGGTCTCTGCTCCCTTAAATCTTCCAGGAACTTCATACTGGAAGGCTTTGAAGGTATGCTAATCAACTTGAAAATTTCCTCTATTTCTATATGTTTTTTAACCAAAGAAAACAGAAAAGAGGCTTTCTAAACTAGTTACTCTGCAGCTTTCTCTTGACTTTTTTTTTCCTTCTTGATTCTACAATCTCCATGTAAGAGATGTCAGTTAGTTGAGTAAGAGAAAACTTATGGAATTTAAAATAGTTTCGCATTCTTGTTAATTAGTATAATCCATATATGATTGGATTCATGGACTCATTTCTCCACATCTTTCTTTATTTCAACAAATCTATACACATAAATGCAATGATATTTAGGTGAACTACTTAAAAAATTAAGGTTATGTTAATTCTGAACTATATCTATAAAAAATTATCAAGTTAAGACTATGTTTTAGTCGGCTTTCTTACTACTTCTTAAAACAATTTTTAGTATAAAAGTTAATTTTTTTTAACTAGAAAGCTGCTTTAAGAAGCAATAAGAAAGTCGTCCTAAATAAAGCCTAAGTAATTGATGTATATAAATAACGTTGAATTTGCAGTCAAGATCGAGCATTCTTGGAGTGATTGAGAGGAAGATGGAAGAGAGGAGTAAGAGGATGATAGAGATAGGGGAAGAGAGAGAAAGGGAAGATGATCTAATGGGCTGGGCTTTGAAACAGTCTGCTTTTTCTAAGGAGCAAATAATGGACCTACTTCTCAGTCTTCTATTTGCAGGCCATGAGACCTCCTCAATGGCCTTGGCCCTGACCATCTTCTTCCTTGAGAGCAGTCCCAAAGCTGTTCAAGAACTGCAGGTAAAGCTGTCAATTATTTATTATTATTATTTTTAAAGAGAATTTCTCTTTTTATACAGTCTATGGCTTTCAGCTACTGTTATTATTTCTCAATTATATATACATATATTATTTTGAGTTGATCTCAAGGCACAATTGATTAAACCTTGGCAATAATTGTTATAAATACAATTATTTTATTTATTTATTTTATTTTCCAGGAGGAGCACAACAATATTTTGAGGAAGATGAGAGAAAGAGGGGAGCATGGACTAAGCTGGGAGGACTACAAGCTAATGGACTTTACACAGTGTGTAAGCATTAAATTCAAAGTGAATTAGTCAATTTCTGGTTTTTTTTTTCTAACTTAATATTCATCATTGATCATATATTTAATCTAGGACTGGGATCATACATGTTTCATCATAATACTATATACATCATAAATAAGTAAAAGAAATGTCATATTTTATATAATCTTTATTTTAATTCTTCAGTGATGTATGAACAAAAAATAATTACTGATCCATTTGATCTTAATCACATTAATAAGATAATATATTAAAATATATTAATAGTTAAGCAAATTAATCAAACAACATGCAACTATAACACCACAACAACAACAACAACCACAAGCCCTTATACACTACGTGGGTGGACTACATCAATCCTTTTTTCTTCATTGTGTTCTGTTAACGATTAATTATTCTGTGCGGATGCCAAAAGATGTCCGGAAATTAATCAACTGAAATGCGCCACATCACCCTTGTGCTTTGTACCGTGGCTCAGTAGTACTGCTAGATACCGCTCGGCACCTGGTTTGGTACTGTTGACATGGCACATTCTTATTAGTCTTCAGACGGCGTTCTGTGTCCGATATCTACACAAAATAATTTCTTCTTGTTAACAACTAAATTCTCATTTAAATATAATAAAAAAGTTTTATTTCTAATATTTTATAACTAAAATTTTTAGGTCTACATCTACATTTCTTAACATAAGCCAAATATAATACATCTACTTTTCTAACTGGATCATCAG